AGTGCCATGCCCAAGATCCCAGAGGTACTAAGTGGTGGAGTTAGGACTCGTCTAACCACCTCGAGCGGGGCTCCAGGCCACTGAGAAGCTGCCTAGAGGGCATGGGTACTGGGGTGGAAATGTGAGGCTTGGACCTAGACCTCCCAACTGTACACGGTCTCCTCCTTCCTGAGCCACTGCTGTTCTTTGTAGGAGAGGAGTGAGGGCCCAAAGCCCTGGGAGAGATAAGTCTGCCAGGGGCGCGCGATGGTCTGAGGGGATTCCCGCTGGTGAGACGCCTTCCCCTAGGCTGTTGCTGGATAAGGGCTTCTCCAGTGGCCAGGTGGGATGCCATGGGTGGAACAGAGCCATTGTGAGGGCCTGCCCTCCCCACACCTCTGGACCCTCTGTGCCAGGCCCTTCGCTACCTGGGTGTGCGTGAAGTGGTGCCTTCCCTTCCAGCTTCCCAGGGAGCAGGAGGTAAGAGCTGGTCCGGCCCGACTAGCAGGTATGCTGCTGTCTGCAGGAGCTCCCCGGAGCCTCTGAAGTGTACATCCAGCTGCCATTTCCACATCTCGGACTTAGGACAAGCCCAAACTGACCCTCAAAGCCTCCACACCGCACGGGGACTTCTGGCACCTTCCTCTAACCACCCCACTGTGCACAGGAGTCCCATCAGCCTCCTTAGGTGCTCCTGTGCTTTCCCACCTCAGGGCCTTTGCAAGGGTGCCTGGCAACCTCAGCTGAGCTCTCCTCATAGCTAAAATGAGCCCATCTTGTTTCTGTGGCCCTTCATGGCTTCCCCCACCTACCTATGTGGGTCCTTCCCGTCTCCTTCACACTGGGCATCTGTCTCCCTTGCTAAAATGTAAGCTGTGATCAGGGACTGCGTATTTTGTTTCCACTGCGGTACTGCACCTGGAGTTCAGTGAGGGCTTGGCCGGTCCCTGCGCTGGGGTCTTAAAGAACAAATGGTGATAGGCCCCATTCACGGTGCTTGTGAGGACATGGCAGAGTGGGATATAGCGTGTAACCTTGGAGCTCTGGGCCATCCCCGCCCTCAGCCCATGCTTGTGGCCCTACCCTAACTTAGCACATGGGCAACAGCAACAGGTCATGGGACAGCTTCCAGGTGACAACATGAGGGGAAAACAAGGCTGAGAGAAATGGGAAAGGAAGTCTGGTTCCAGTTGTCCATCTCAGTCCCCCAGGCACATTTGAAGCCCAAAGCCCCACCAGAGGCAGACGGGCCCATGGGTCAGTGTGGGTCAGGAAGGACCAGGTAAACCCACAGGTTGAGGCAGAGATGTCCATGCCACCCTCTAAAAGTGTAAGAGATGACAAACCAAGAGCCCAAAAAGTACAGTCTTACAGAAGCACATGGAACTTTCTGCCCAGTTTTAATGTCCACTGAAGAGACTAACTGTTCTCTTAGGGCTTACCCTGCTCTCAGGCTCCTTTTAAAACAAACTCGAAGCACCTGAGTGGCTCATTGATGGATAGTCCCATTGAAACACATTAAAAAAAAAAAAAATTGAGAGACTGAGCACAAGCAGGGCAGGGAGGAGAGGGACCTGAGCCGAAGACAGCCCCTTAGCTGACTGGGCCACCCAGGCGCCCCTGAAGCACATCTTACTATAAACTGCATCCTGCTGTCTTCCCCTTACCTTCACTAGGGCACTTACAGAGGCAAGCTAGGGGACACGTGGATTTCACCGCAGGATGGGCTGAAGGAAGGCTTGTGTGTCTGGTTCCTGGGCCACATGGAGGGGAAGCTGTCGTACTGCAACCACAGGGGACCCCGCACTTTACCCACCTTGGCTGGCCCCAGCCTGGAAATTTCACAGCTGTTTGTCAGGCCATTGTTTTTTCCCACTTGCAGTAGCTCACCCAGTCACCATAGCAGCTGTGCAAGGAGAGAGTGACTCTTAAATCTGTTTTATAAATGACAACACCGACAAGAGGGATGAGCCACTTGGCCAGGGTAACAGAAGTCGCACAGACAAGACTGAACACTGCCATCTAGAGGGTGAAGAAAGTGTAGAGCCTAGATAAAGTCAGGTATTGAAATGCAAGCCCTACTGTGGGGACAGTGTCAGAGCTTATCTGCTTCTTTGCCTTTGAGCTTCCAGGCAGCCAGGGCAAAGAAAGAAATGGTTATATTTCCCCACCCCCACCCACCCCACCCCCCGCCCCGGAGCCTGAGGGGCCATAGGAAAGCAGCTAGCTTTGTGGATGCTGGGAGGTGAAACGTGCTTCCCAGGAGGGATGTAGTGAGTGACAGGATACTGCTCACACCACATCACCTGGAGTGCTTTGGCTCTTCCAGTCACTCAGGTGGGACAGAGCACATGCTAGAGAGGGGAACGTGGAGTCCTCTCATGTTCCTATAGCTGCTGATCCAGCCCCAGGGTTTGGGCTCAGCTCCCCCTCCCAGCTGTTTGCTGAACCAGGAAGGCACCCATTGGTCCTTCCACATGTGACCAGTGCTCTTGAGTCCTGCTCTGGACCATCCAACTAGGGCTGTGGCCACAGGCAGGGTTTATCCTGCCCCACGTGCTCGCTCACCACTCCAGTCTGAGCAGAGCCTCTGGCCTCTCTCTACCATCAGACAGCACAGTACCTGGACACACCAGCTTTGGGGTTCAGATCCTGGCTGTGCCCCCAGCTGTGCGGCAGCAGGGGAGATGACTGGGCTGGCTGGGACAGCTGTCCCCCAAGCTGCCTGACAGGAGTCGGGAAGAACCTGTATCTCAGCCAGTGGGCGAATGGGGGGCCAGCATCTGTGCAGCAGGGCTGGCTGTAGGGGAAGCAGGGGAGTCCTCTTTACCACTGCCTGCCAGGTCAGCAGTTCCTCAGCTTCTGCGGACAGAGCTGGCATGGAGGCCCCACGTTCAGAGTGAAACCAGTGGCTCTGCTGGTTAATCTCAGCATTCACCCTGGGGCCAGGCCCGGAGCGGAACTGAGAGGGAGACTAATTCTGCTGCTGCTTCGCCGGCTGACTTCCTCCCAGTGATCCGGAGGGCCTGGAGCCAGTGGGGAGGCTCGCGGGCCAGGCAGAGCCAACTGCAACAGCATAAGGAAGGAAAGAGCACTTGGACAGTACCCATCGTGCAGAAAGGAAACCGAGGCTCTGAAAGGTGGAGCCTTGCTCGCTCCAGCACGCCCAGGGCCCGTGTCCGTACCGCATGGGATTCCTGTGCTCCCCACATCTCACGAGCTCCCAGGCTGAGAAACTGGGGTATGGGGGACAAGTAAGAGAAACCTGAAAGGTTAAAAAAAAAACCCTGGCTGGTGGTCACTTAGGGCTGGGACTGGCTGGCCACCTCTCTGTGCTTGCTATCACGTTAGTGAGATGAGGCAGTCCACCAAGGCGAACGTCAGGGGCTCCTAGAGTTGGTTCTTTCCTCTGGACTGCTGGGGGCAGGGGTTGCCTGGACTGGGAAGAGCCCCCGTTTGTCCAAACGTCTCCTGCCAGACTGCTGCATCCCTCACTGTTTAACAGCTCTCCTGCAGGTAGGGAGTAGCTGAAGGCAGGTGGCCTGGTCCTAGGGTCACCATCCTTCTATCAGAGATGCCTGGTGCCTGTGTGTCTCGAGCAGTCACACATGTGGCTTTGGGGATGGGCTCCTGTACTTCTTGAAAAGGCAGCTTCTGCTCAAGATGTGGAGGTCAGATTCCCCCAAAGTCACAGTGCCAGGAACAAGCCTTTGGGCCTGCCTTGTTTCCATCCCTCTGCCCCTGCCCTGTGTTGGCTTGGTCAGGCCGGTCCTTCCCAGCTGGTCCTAGGTGGGCCTGGCAGTCTCTCGGTCCTGGAGAAGAAAGAGGTACTGGAGAGACGGGGCCCAACTGAGCCTCCATGTCCATTCCTCCATCTTTGGCTCCTTCCGCTGTTCTTATCTGCTTCTGGCCCCTGCTGGAAGCAGCCATCCATCATCTCCTGACCTTGCGAGAAATAATCTTATCACTCTTATCACAAGAGGAAGAGATGGGGGTGGGCAGTAGAGGGGGACCTGCATTCTGAGACGCTGCTGCCCTAGAGATGCGGACTTCTGTGCTCTAGGGCCCCAGAGCTTCCTGCTCCCTGGGAACAGGCACCTGCAAGCTCAGCCCCTGCTTTAGTCAGGTTCAGTCTGGACCTGGGAGAGGAGCCCTTGCTGGCAAAGGAGTAGGGGACCACTTCCCATGCCCCCTGAACCCCGTGTATGCTGGATGTCACGGGAGACTCCCGGGTCCAAGGTTTTGTGTAGGTTTCCAGCTGGTTCTACCTGGGGCCAGCCCTACCCAGCTTTGTTCCTTTAGGGATGCTGGCAGGAGCCCCAAGAACCTGTGGCTAAGCTGCTCTGTCAACCCCCACCCTCAGCCTTGCAGACAGACCAGCTGGGCGTGACAGTGTGAACTTCTAGGCTGTATGCTGTGGACGGAGGTGAAAACCCGATCTACCCTCCCTCAGGCAAAAGACTTCACCTCCAAGATTTGAGCTGCTTCTCTTTATGATGTGATGAGAGTATGTTTCCTACAAGGTCCGGAGAGGCCTGCACTAATGAGGAGCTGATGGCAGGGGGATAAACTAAAGGCAGGACGAAGGCCTGAGCCCCCGGCACAGGCAGCGCCGTGGAGGGAAATGCGACTTGGGCTGGATGCCCTCATGTCCACTCTCAGCGCTTCTTTTGATGAGGAGGTCAGCAGCCATTGTGACCTGGCTGGGCTGGGGGGTGGGCAGCGCTCTTTGTTCCACCGGTGGAGAAGGAACAGATGTCAGCAGGCAGACAGCGGTCAGAGAGGTTCAGGTCCACTGGGGCACGGGAAGAGTGCTTAGAGGCTACAGGAGAAGGGCCCTCGGCGAGGCTCCAGCAAGCCACAATGCTCGACCTTGGTCCAGGCTTGGGGGGCCTGCGTGGCAGCACCAGGAGCCCTCACCCACCCAACTAAGCCCTTGGGGAGACTGCAGGAAAGGAGAGGCCTGGGGGGACGAAGGGCCATCAGGATCAAGCCTCAAGTGCCCTACCTTGGTCTCCTAGAGTTCAAAGCCCAAGCTACAAGCAGCCTGCTCCACCATCCAGGAGGTTCGGCGATGCACACGCCTCGAGATGCCGGACAACCTCTATACCTTTGTCCTGAAGGTAAGGAACGGCTTTTCCCACCCGGGGTCACACCTACACACCCAAGGCACCCACACAGCCACTCCCTTCCTCCTTGCCAGGTGAAGGACCGGACAGACATCATCTTTGAGGTGGGGGACGAGCAGCAGCTGAACTCCTGGATGGCTGAGCTCCGGGAGTGCACAGGCCAAGGGTGAGGCCCCGGACCATAGGGCCCCACTCCTGGCACAGCTTTTCCTACTGCCCTGGTCTATCCAGATCCTAACCTCAGCCTCTTCAGCAGGCTGGAGCGCACAGACCCAGAGACGCACATTCCCTCAGCCCCCGAGTCTGGCACATCCAACTCCCCGCGGGGAAGCACAGATTCCCTGAACCAAGGTGAGTGGGTCAGGCCTCCGTTCTCCGGGTAAGTCGGAACCAGCTTCAGCCTAGGATGTAAGGTACCCACCGGGGGTGACCATCACCCGTCCTGTCTACCAGGTGCTTCTCCTGGGGGGTTGCTGGACCCAGCCTGTCAGAAGACAGATCACTTCCTGTCCTGCTATCCCTGGTTCCATGGCCCCATCTCCCGGGTGAAGGCAGCCCAGCTGGTTCAGCTGCAGGGTCCTGATGCTCACGGAGTGTTCCTGGTACGGCAGAGTGAGACACGGCGAGGGGAGTATGTGCTCACGTTCAACTTCCAAGGCATAGCCAAGGTACGGGGCATGGTAGGTGGGGCCGTACCTCCCCCACCCCCAAGTTCAAAGCCCTCAGTGGCCAGTGGCTGAGCCTCCTCTCCTCTCCTCTCCAGCACCTGCGCCTGTCGCTGACCGAGCGAGGCCAGTGCCGAGTGCAGCACCTCCACTTCCCCTCTGTCGTGGACATGCTACACCACTTCCAGCGCTCTCCCATCCCACTCGAGTGCGGTGCTGCCTGTGACGTCCGCTTGTCCAGCTATGTGGTAGTCGTCTCCCAGCCAGCAGGTGTGACCCTTGATAAAGGGGGTGGGTGGCACAGGGAACCAGAGGGTAAAAGCTTGCTGCAAACCCAGGGGCACAGAGATTTTGGTGTTCTTCCAACATCTGCCCCATCACATTAAGACTGACTGCGCTGGTCTCTCTCTTGGTCACTTGTCCCCCAGGTTCCTCCAACACCGTCCTGTTCCCTTTCTCCCTTGCTCACTGGGATTCGGAGCTGGGCCTTCCCCACCTTAGCTCTTCTGGCTGTCCGCGAGGGCATGGCCCGGAGGGTCCCCCCAGCCGACCCTCCCCCCCAGAGCAGATATTCCACCTGCTGCCTTCGCCCGAGGAGCTGGAAAACAGCCTGCGGCACCTGGAGCCTGAAGCTGCCAGTCGAGCCCGGGACTCAGACTACGAAATGGACTCCTCCTCCCGGAGCCATCTACGGGCCATAGACAATCAGTACACACCTCTCTGACCGGCGGTGAGGAATCCCGGGCCTCACACGTGCCCCCGCGGAGCACAAGCAAGCAGAGATGTGAACTTGTGAATGTAATTTTCTTTCCTTCCTTCCAGAGAGAGAGTTAAGGGACACTGTTAACTGCTCCAGTTTCGATGTGACCCTTCTATTCGGCCTGTTAAAGGGCCTCCTGTAAGTTTCATCGTCCACCACCTGCTTTCTCCTTATTGTTTACAGATGTAGTTCTTGTTCGCAGATGCCACCAGTTCCTGCCCTGAGTCCCCAGGACCTGTCCCATCCTCTTACAGGAGGTAATGGGTGAGGGCCAGAGCTGGCGGCAGAACTGGGCTCTTTTTCACGGACACTGTCACAGCGGATGGCAGACTTTCGGGGGGGGGGGGGTTGTCAGGAAGCCCAAAACACTAACAAGCCCTGGATTCTCATATGGTTTGCCTGTCGTAGCCTCAGTCCACGTGGCAGGTCTGCCGTCCCCCACGTCATAGGTGAACACCCCATTCCTGCTCTGACTCGCAGCTTTAGGACAAAGCTCAAGGTTAACAATTTTTTTAAACATTTTACCTCAGATTAATTTTTCAAAGGATTCAGGTTTCAAAACTCAATTATTGCTTATGTCATTGCACTCTTTAAACGAATACCCATGCGATTTTGTAGTTCAGAGACAGCTATGCAAACCCTACTTGACTAGTTCCCAGTCTGAGCCAGCACGCCTGGCATCCATGTCTTTTTCATCCTCAGGACAGTCACCTGCTGCTGAGTAGCCACTGTCCTTACTAATGAAGAGAAGTTAAATACGTCACCCTTTCAGGGAAATTCAGGCCATTACTGAAATAGGAGGGTGGCAAGGAATAATTCTACCCTGGTGCCTTATGAATAAAAAACTGGATTCTGGTTAATAGCAGTTTTATGGTGAGACTTAAACTAGTTTAACCAAGGGGTAAGGGGAGGGACAAGCAAAAAGGGAGGAAGGGCTCCTGGGCCATCCTTCACCAATGGGGCTGGCTCAGAAACCCCTAGACATCTAATGGCTTATAAACTATCCCACAAGGTTTTAGGCTCACTCTTGAGCCAAAAGAGGAGCTGGGAATCTGGTGCCACAGCTAATGAGAAACTCCTTTAACAGCCACAATCAGCATTCTGTGCCAGCCGCTTACTGCTTCTCTTGATGAGGAATGTCTGCGCGCACTCGCGGGCACGCAGCGTCTCCACCAGCCGGGGGCCTGCAGTAGAACCTCCCTCTACACTTGCCTTTCACCAGTAACACAATTCACAGGGGAGCTGGCTCCCCCCAGGACTTTCACGCAGAGGCTCTAAACCAAGGGGGCAGTGACAGAGTGGAGCCAGCTGCTCCTGGGTGCCATTAGCAGGCTCACCCATGTGGCTTCTAGGAAACTGGGAGTTCAGCGCAGCTTAACCTTTACAGATACATCAATCAGAGGCTAAATAAACCCTGGCCTAAAACTACTGCTTCCCTCTTTTGGGGTGACGGTTCGGTTTGCTCCCTCAAGCCATTCTCTGTATTCCCAGTGGTCAGACTTTTGATTCTAGAATTTTCTGGGGTTTTCTTTTGGGGGGGCGTCGAGGGGGCCAAGCAGTCACCTCTTCACCACTTTAGAAACCAACACTCCTGGGTGTTTCCAGTAGATTATAAAGCAGATCCAATCCAGATTTGTGGTTTTTTTCTATGTTCTGAATTTCTCTTAGAGAAAACTCATCAAAGAAAGAGCTGAGAAGGCACTGGTACAGATTGTCCCCTTGGCTGCACAGGAAAGGGGCCAAGCAGGCAACAACCCACGTGAGTCCCCTCCCTCTAGCCAGAAGGGATGGAATCTAAACACCTGGAATGTGACATCGTTAAGCCAGGGACCCTCACTGCTTAGCTGCTCACCATACAATTCTCAGGTAATACGAAAAGGCAAGCCAGGCACAGCAAACTAGCAGCTCTGACCCACTGGCTATGAAGGACAAGTCCAGACTCGGTGACAGAAAACTGGAAGTCACCCACCTCCAGACTGCTTCATTTAATACGCTCAAGAAAAACACTTCCTTTTAAAACATGTCCAAGTTCCCAGGATAGCTCAAATACGGCCCCCCAAAAAGCCCCCTCAGGGCCTGAGAAGAAGTGACACTGAGCCACTGCCTTTTCTTTCTGCTAGAGCAGGTCGAGATGGAGGAAAAGGAGCCGTGGGTCCCCTGGGCTAGATGCCTTCACAGGCAATGACCCTGCTGGCTACAGTCAGCCCAGCATGGTCACAGCATACCCCACCACCCTCCTGGCCCCAGGGTGACTGCTGCTGGCAGCAAGAAGCCAAGCCAGCAGCCTCCACTGAGAGCCCGGGCTCTGAGTGCCAAAGGGACAGTAAGCACCATGATCCCTCCAGTTAGCTCTAAGGACGAGACAACAGGATAGCTTGACTGCTCCCAGCACCATCACTTCCTTCTTCTGTCTTGAATGAACTTTTACATACTAACAGTCACCAGCACCAAAGAATTAAGTCAACTAACCTGCCTTGAATTTTAGACCAGCAATCCATATGGCTTTATCTGGTATAAATCTTCTGCCTTTGATCATTTCTGGACCGTGTAGGAAAAAGGAATAGCAATCATTAAAATCTTAGGCCAGAAAACACTATTTTTACATAACAGTTTCTTAACCTAAAATCAAGGCCTTGAACTCTTCCCTAAGTGTTGCCTGAGATTCCTTCATGCTTTTAATTCAGGGCTACGTCTCTTATTGCAAATGTCACGTGAGCTCTAACATCTCCCACAGGCTTGAGGAACTTGATAGTATATTATCCACCATTAACAAGGACACATCTGACATCCAGTGTTTGGCTGGAATAAGCAGCACATTGTAATGACAACGGCGTAAATGGATCCATTCTGTATCATTATAGGCAGAAGATATTTGGCAAATTTTTATGTATTGTTTATGTACTGTACAAGTAACTTATTCTTGAATAATGCAAATTTTGCTATAATGTACAAATTGCTACACATGAATTAAAAGTTTTCAGAACTGACTTGTTGCCACAATATTTAAAGGCTCTATCATTACAGGACTGCGGTCTCTGCAAAATCCCTGCTCCGCTCCACTGCTCGCTCCTCCCTCTGTCCTCCCGCACGCGGCAGCGTGAGCACTGCAGCCAGTCTACGGCAGTAAGCGACTCTGTACAGCGCTGTGCTGTTTTAGCTTTCAGTCTTCTGGATTTATCAGTTTCTTTTTAAAAAGTGTCTCCTGCCCCCTTCTGGTAAAATAGGTGTGTGAATCAGAACGACTTCTGACTAAGAACACTCATTCTGCGTTCAGGAGATATTAAAAAGGAAAGCTTACAGAACCAGCGTCAGGCTGAGGATGTGGTATCTCAGTGCCGCCCAGCTCTGGCCAGCCTTCCTCCTTCTGGAGCGGACCTTTATCCACCAAACAGAATGTCTCAGTCTTGTCTTTTTCTAGAGATACCTTGAACCAGAACTAAAGGTGAAGAAGAAAAGTCATTTGACAACTAACCTTCCAGGATTATTTAAGAAAGCACACTCAGCCCTCCTGCCTTGATATGAAGTATCCTATAATAGAAATATCTTAAGCTTATACAAACACACACTAACTTGATATCAGTTTTTAAAACTTTTTTTATTTTTTAATTTTTTTTAAGTTTTTATTTTATATTATCTACAAAGTAAAAGTTTTTCCCTTAACTTAAAAGTTGAACCACTGTAGACAGTGATCACTCCATCAAACTTGATTTATAAATAATAACCCGTCATTTTGACGGTAAGAATTTACTGAACCTTTGTCAAGTTTAGTAAAAGGGCGTTCCAAGTCTTGATTTTTTTTTTTTTTTTTTTTTTTTTTTTAGCAGTAATAGCAGCAAGAATCACTCTTGTTACTTCTTTTGCTAGCTGATGTGTTCATGACTTTCGAGGGTCATTAAAAAATAAATAACTTCCAGTTTCAGCAAGCAGAGCTGGGGTACTTGCGGGACTCTGAAACAGCATATGGAATTATGGAACAGCCCACAAGTTCCTAAATGCCTCTACTCGGTCCAAATATCTTCCACTGCAAGTGAACTGTTAGCATTCCTATTGGATGTTACAAGAAATCAACATATATTTTTTAAAAACAAAATAAATGAAATTCTAGTTTTCTGTGCTTCCAGTTGGTAGAAGCAGTAGAAGGGAGGAGGGAATTTGGCCTTTCGGTTCCTCCAGGGCAGCCTTACAACTGCTGTTGGTGGTGGGCTTGTACTGTAAGAAAGAAAAGTGGATATTTAAACAGAAAACTGGCAACACCGCAAATCAGCCTAGTGTCTCTGCAGCACACGCCTGTAAACTATCCTTGTGCTAGCTGAACAAGACTCAAAATTCAATTCACTCTTCCCCCTCCCATCTGCACCAAAAAGGGGAGGGGTAGGTGGGTGGGTAGAAACAAACCAGTCAGATGTAAAACCACTTCAGGTAAAACTCCCAGAAGATTTGTTGCTCATGGGGTAGAGAAAAAGGCCTTAACATACCCCCTCCCCAGATACTAGCCAAGCACCAGTATTGATTTCAGAGTAACAGGTTAGACTGAAATATCGCCATGGCAGCCATCAAGTGTTAGAGCACAATCACGGGGCCTTCTCTCCCTGTCAGGGCATAGGCTGGAGCTAAGGCTACACTCAAAACCAGTCCACACACAGCACACTTTCTCATCAATAGTCTTCTCCAGAGCTACAATCAAACTCTGCCATGGTGGTAACGACCCCCGTCAGACTGGGGGCGGGGGGGGGGCGGGGACTAAGGAAGGCGAACGCTGCCCTGTCCAGCCTATTGTAACAAGGAAGGCCAACTGAGTCCTAAGCATGCGTCAGCCACACAGAATGCTGCTGCTGCTTCTCATCAAGCCAAATCCTGTATACCATCAGAACACACACAGACTCGGCTCCTGGAAGCCTCAGGCCCTGACACTGAACTTATCATCACAGTCCCTACTGTGCACACTCTGACGGGTCTTCCTAGTTCTCGAATGCGGGGCTTGAAGCGCTGGCCCTGCCTGCCGTTCGATCTGTGCGAGCAGAATGCTTTGGGGTGCCCGGCGGCCCCTGCACACACACGCCTCACCTGAAGGGTGCGTCATATAGGGGAAATGCGCTGTTGTCGAGACTGGAATGGGCTGTAGTGCACTTTGAGCGAGGGCGGCCTGGGGACCGCCGGGTGGCTGTGTCGTCATTAGCATCATTGGCGCATGGGCAGTTGGATGAGAAGGAACCATTCCTGACTGTACATGAGCCTGAAACAGAGAGCTCTTTTACGCATACAGGCAACATCTCCAGCTTAAACAACATGTCAACTGTGT